GGATCGGTCGTCGTGGAAATCCTTGTGGAAGGTCTTTTGCTGAAACGAACAAACGAACGAAAACTGAACCTCCTGAAAAACCTGTGATAACTTTAAAAAATATTTTTATCATGCTCACATCATTTAGATCAAAATATCGTAAATGAACGGCGCTGAAACAGTTTTTGTAATCAAAGAGTATACTCGTACCTACGTAAATCTTATTATTTACACATATTACATAGTTGCGTTGGATCTTACGCATACAAAACACATCCTACCTCACAAAGTTCAACTGCCTGATAAAAAGGTCGATTTACTATTTATAAATGTCATCGTGCATAAATATTTTTGTCTACAGAAACTCGGTAAAAATAACATTCTGAATATGTGTTATTCATACTTCGTAATATTGTCTGAAAATTATGACTTTACTAGCTTTTGCACGCGGCTTCACCCGCATGAAATTTAGTTTGTCACAGATCGTCATGAAATTTATTATAGCCAAATGTTATTCTGGGTCATAAACAATAATACTATAAAGTTTCATCAAAATCCATTCAATAGTTTTCGCGTGAAAGAGTAACAAACATCCAGACATCCACACAAACTTTCGCATTTATAATATTATTAAGAGTAAGATACTATTTGTGCTGCTGAAACAATTTTAATAGGATTTGTTACGAAGATAAGTAGAATATAAGAGAAAATAAATTTATGTACCTACCTATGCTACTCTTTGTGGCAAAAGAGAAAAAATTGAATTTTTTATTCTCAACCAATTATTTTTCAGGTAGGTACCTAATAGTTATATGAATAATATCTTTATTTCGTCGAAATTACTGTACTAATCATTCATGAATGGACTTTACTGAAAATTACAAATTACACTTCGAAGAATTACGATGTACGAGCATGAGATGTATTTCTTACTCACGTTCATTACTTGATACAGATGACGTTTAATTTTGCTTTCCTAAACTTTCTGATAAGCATTGGACGTCACGTTTGCGATAGGTTTTTGTTTTCTTCAATAAAATTCGTCGCCCCTTTGATGTGCTTCTGTTATTTTTTGTAATGAATTATGAAATGATATAATGGCATGAAATCATGACAAAGTGACAACTTGCGAAAAGCAACTTGTAGATGCTGGATTGCGACAAGTCAAAGACGGTAAAATAGAACGAGTTTGGCAAGACCTATGTTCAGAAGTGGACTGCTACAGACTATTGATGATGATGATAACCAGAAGGTTGTAAGTTACATATTTTAATTTAACTATAACATCAGTAAATAATATTTTTTACAAGCTTTTATTTATCATTTGAATTATTAATTATTTAATACTTTATTGTCATACATGTAATGTAAGTAGTCAGATACTAACAGATTTTAACTTTCTTTAACACTTAAGGACTCGCTAATGGGTCTAACGGACCCAGTTCTTCCATTTTTGTGAAATAACTTTTAGAGTTTGACGTTTGCGATGTTGTCGCTATTAGTACCTTTCCACGACATTGTAGCACAGCCAATAGCGGTCATAATCGTCAAATAGCCCACTGCATGTGATTGCTACAGACGAAAAATGTGTTTTTGAGTCCACTGGACCCGGTAAACAAAGTGAATTTTTTAATGTTTTATGCAAATTTCTCGTTAATTGTTAATTGGTATAAGTAGGCGAATCATAGTAGCTTACGAAAATAAACAAGGTACTTTTTTAAATAATTAATTACAGAAATTTACAAAAATAGCCTTCATTTTGCCAAAAAACCTTCAATTTTTTAACAAAGTTATTATTTTAGAAAAAGGCATTAAATATGACTATTTGGTTTATTATTTTGTCTTTGTTTATATCATATTATTCTTCTAATAAAGTAGTTTTCACTTTTATTAAGAGTTTTTGAAAAATACATAGGATTTTATATACTGGGTCCAGCGCACCCGGTAGCGAGTATGAATGTTACAAATTAAGGCGCGAGTCCTCAAGTGTTAAGCGTACTTTATTTATTTATTTATTATTCATTATTGAGCAATTACATATTTGATCCAAATAGCGTCCTAAATCCTTTTTAGGTTTGTCTAGACACTATTGTTCTCTATACAAATAAAAACAAACGTTTTAGTATAAGCATTCACAACACTTTCAGATATACAAAATATTATTTTAGCGAGTGCGCACTTAGCTTTATTTGTGATTGATATTGATAATGATTTAGCATCCATAAGCAATTAACAAACACTCCCCCGCCTTTCCAATTAATCAGAGCAAAGTCCAATACAAATAATATACAAATGATTTAGCATTTTGCGATGTGAGCGTTGAGTGCGATTTGTGTCAGCTGACGATAAGGCGAAGTTCAGAGAGCAAATGGAAATTCTTCATCAGAAAGGGTAATGTGATTCTGGGTCAGTAGGGTGACCATGTTACCTGTGCCCTAAGCATGAATGAGTGATTGTAGTCTTAATAAAACCTTAGCGAGCGCTGTTTTGTTTTTCATACTAACAAACACCTTCTAACCTTATCGATGAGGACCTTTGTTCATGCTGCTGAAATTTTGTCATGGTCATTAAAATTAAATAAACATTTTTCTTTTTTTCTTAATTATTTTCATACTTTCAGCCTATTATTTCGCTTTTTCCCATGCTTCTTGGATAAATTATTAACGATATCCTTGTCTTACCTTGATATAAGTAGAATTATATTAAAAACCGGCCAAGTGCTAGTCGAACTCGCGCACCGAGGGTTCCGTACCATTGATTTATGAAATTAAAATTCTTATTTTTTATTTAAGTTACTAGCTTTACGCCCGCGGCTTCGCCCGCGTGGATTTTTGTCTGTCACAGAAAAACTTTATCGCGCGCGTCCCTGTTTCAAAAACCGGGATAAAAACTATCCTATGTTCTTTCCCGGGACTCAAACTATCTCTATGCCAAATTTCATCAAAATCGGTTGCGAGGTTTAAGCGGGAAAGCGTAACAGACAGACAGACAGACAGACAGACAGACAGACAGACAGACAGACAGACAGAAAAAAAATTTTTTGTTTCATTTCTAAGTATGAGTAAGTTCCCAATATTTATTATATTTTTTCTATAAGGGTTCCGTTTTTTGCCATTTGGCTACGGAACCCTAAAAAAGAGAACCCAAGCTTATAAAGTGTGCGATTTAATAAAACTTTAAAAATCTAAATATTTTTTATTATCCGGGGTTCGAATCCACGAACTTTAGCTTAGCAAAGTTCTCAAAAGTAAGCAACGCAATGCCTGCCAAAGAATAAGCAAAAATAAATGCTAATAGAATCTATCTAGTCTGGTAAAGGTCGCGGGAAGGGGTTACCTACGCCATATCGAATGACAAAATTAAATGATCGAAAATCAAAATATCGAACACGTTTCATCGAACGATCAGAATATCGAACGATCAAAATATAGAATGCTCAAAATATCGAACGTTCAAAATATCGAATTTACAAATGATCGAACGATCAAAATATCAAAAGTCGATCTTATGCTGCATAGTGTAATAGGAAGATGGAGGTAAGGGTTCCTTGTTGACTATGGTACCCTATAGTGGAGAATAAAAAATATGTGTATATTAATGATGTTTTATTTACATTAATCATGTGAAATTTAATTAAAACCTCTATATTGGTTTTCGATATTTTGATCGTTCGATCATTTGTAAATTCGATATTTTGAACGTTCGATATTCTGTACCTCTAGTAGGAAAAACTTAAACAGCGCCCCCTAGGGCGGCTATAATATATTTTTCATACAAAAGTTTTTCCTACTAGAGGTACTGTACCTCTAGTAGGAAAAACTTTCGAGTTCGTTTCGTTGCGTATTCAAAGTGTCATCGAAAAATTTTGTATGAAAAATTAAACAGCGCCCCCTATATTATAGCCGCCCTAGGGGGCGCTGTTTAATTTTTCATACAAAATTTTTCGATGACACTTTGAATACGCAACGAAACGAACTCGAAAGTTTTTCCTACTAGAGGTACTGATCGTTCGATGAAACGTGTTCGATATTTTGATTTTCGATCATTTGTCATTCGATATGGCGTAGGTAACCCCGCGGGAAGAGCCTGGATGCGGGCAGCGCAGAACCGTTCATCGTGGAAAACCTTGGGGGAGGCCTTTGTCCAGCAGTGGACGTCATTTGGCTGAAACGAACGAAATGCTAATAGGTATAGTGGTCCATTATTTTTATAAAGAGTGGTCAATCTCTTATTAAAACATTGTTATCATTAAATGTAGGCGTGGTCCATTTCCTCATCACTGTTGATGTTTATTACATTGCTCGACTGATTCAGATAACGCAAATCGTTGGACCGAGTTTAAAGTTCCACTTTATTGCATCATGAAGTAAGACTCATCTCATAAGGCTGATTTACACTTAAGTAGGTAACTTACTTTTAAGCAATTACATATTTGCATGTAAACACAGAATTTAATAGAAAGTTGCAAGTTAAATTAAAAACTAAATTTTAACTTGCAACTTGTGTTTACACGCAATTTAATCAAAATTAAGTTAAAATGTAGTTGTAGTTACCTACTTAATACGTGTAGACCAGCCTTTAGTAACAAATTACCATTTGTTAGGGATGTGACTGAGGGATGTGAGGAGTACTCTCAGATCATAGAAAGGGAACGTGGTTGTCCTATCTTGTATTTGTTATTAGCTCGAATATTATTTATTTTACTCTCTTACAACCTATAGTAATTCTTACTAAAAGAAAGGATGGGTCTCTCCCATGAGATTTTTTATCTTCTTTCTTATACCGGTAGCACAAAATCGAAACTATTAATTTCAATTAGTATTTCAATTCTTTCTCAAATCTTACCTCAACCACTTATGTATTTACCCTATTTTTTGAGCAAATAAATAATTTGAATTTGAACAGTTAATTTTGTGTTCATTTATTTAAATTAGCAACGTAGCATTTTTTTGGAAAAATAAATCAAAAACGAAAATAGTACAAAAATATCTATTTTAATACTCATCTTACTACATTAATACTTATCTTATACTAAAAATTAAACTATATTAAATAAATTAATGGTAACTGTGGTGCAGATGGCGCTGTCCTTAGCGCTGTCTTATTACGAAATATTTTGAATAGTGAACTATTAAATTAACAAAATAATGATAATTTATTTTGTATCTTATGACTTTTTTCCATTACTTGTACTTTTACATTCATACGCAGCATTTTTTATTTCGTACCTAAAACGATAATGAATTACATTTTCTTAATTGTACTTACGTATTTTATACTAAGCATAAGACAAAATACAACATCATGAAAAGCCTAAGCGCAGACCAGTGACTTTTAGTTGGCCGATAGTTGGGTCGGGCTGTTGATCAGTATGGAGTTGTATGAAAGTGCGCACATTACACCGATTTGGTATCGGCCGATTCTTCATACAAATTAGAATCGGGCCCAACTATCGGCCAACTAAAAATCGGTGGTTTGCGCCTAGGCTAAACAACACATCTTTGTGTAATAGAAAACAATGAATTAGGTAGGCACCTTGACCCCACGTAATTAAATAAATTCTTAAATAAAAGTGCCGTATTAAAGTTTCAAGCAATTTCACACAACAGTGATATTGCATTTACGTATTCATTTACGAGTAACATTTAATGGTCAGTGTTTAAAATTCATAGAGCACCAATTTGCAATTATTTATTTGGTCATTGCGTGACATTTAAATTAATCTAGGAATATTTACACTTTAAAATAGAAATTAGCAATTTTGTAAACGAAACCACGAAACTGATGTGAAGTGAAGTTTAGGTTTAGGTTTTAATCCGAGTTTAGGTTAATTTCAAAGTTGAGTTTTGAAATAATTTAAAGTACATTTCAGCAAATTTCAATGACCATAAAAATAAATAAAAATGCGTAGTTTTTTAGGCTAGCTACTTTTGAAGATAAAGAAGATTTTCTAACCGATCATTTTTCTTTGCGGTCCAGTGTAGCAGCGATCACTTTCACACTTGAATAAAATCGGTCGCAGCGATACTAGGACTCCACTGAACTAGAACAGCTGCCAAAAACGGCCTTATTTGGGTCAGTTACCTTATCTGTTAATGCTTCAACCAAACCAACGCGTGCAGCGCCTGCGTGATCAAAGGCCTCTGCTGAAACTGTCATAGGTTGCGCGACCTGTCAATGGCCTTTGATCGCAAGCAATGGCGATCTGCACGCGTTGGTGTGGTTGAAGCCTAACTCTAATATACTTTTGTCATCAGTCATCAAGTCACTGTCACAGCGCATCGTCGTCCAGTCACCGAGCCAGCGCCGGCCGTGGTAGCGGGTTGGTCTGCATGGTGGGGTCCTGCCATGAGCCTGGGAGGCCGTACTTCTTAGGCTTTAGCACGTAGATAAACTGGAAAAACAAAAAAAAAACTATAATAGTCATACCTAATACCCTACAATTTATTTCTGAAAGAACTGAAGAAAGTACATAAAGGATTCTTAATTTGTAATTAGTGAATTTTGGTTTTCCTGACGATCTCCTCATTTCTGATTCGATCATGTAGGAAAATATCCAAGCATAGCACGCTCCATCGCCCTTTGGGTGATGTGCATGTGGATTGAGTGATCCTTGCTTCAATCTTAACAAAAATCGAGGAAGTTTTACTTAAAATATGTTAAAACATTGCGATGAAGTTTAAAAATTTGTTAAACCTAAGATAAAAATGTTATGGCCAATAAATAGGAGCACTCATACCGCACGCTTTAAGAAAACGTCAACATGTTTATTTCAGAAAATAAAGCCTTTCCACTTCTTTTTATAGTATAGAAAAATTGTTAAGAATATGTTAAAACTATTAACAAATTAAGAAATTCCTTGCACGTCCCGTTCCAAAGTTATGACGATTATTTAGGATCACTCACACCGCACACGGGCCGTACGAGTGCTCTTCAAAATAATGACTTTTTATTAATAAATACGTTTTATTTCTGTTGGGAAATGTGTGCAAACTGACGAGCGAATTTGTTAAAGAATAAGTGTGACAAAACTTAAAAGCTGAAGGAAGAAATTAACCTTTATTCTTTCCTCCAATATGCCGTGTGAGTGATCCTTACTTTTACCTCTATCTGCTCATATGTAGTTCGTAGGCAGACTGAGATAGTATCTAAAATTGTTAATTGTTTTTAACAATTATTTGGCATATATTTTGCTTTTATTAAGGTCATAATTTAAGAAATATCAGGCTTAGATGATTCCTAAAGGAAAATGTTGATTAGGGTACATATGATTTTTTATTTTGTGAGACTGTTCCGATTCGTCAGACGTGACAATGCAAAACCAATGCAATCTAATATGTAGTAGGTTTAGGGGCCTCCGCTAAAACTCGCGGGGGGCGTCCGTCGCCGCGGTCGGCAGTAGCGCGAGTTTTAGTGGTTTACCCCTACATCTTGAATGATAGAAATAAAGAAACATTACAATTGTTTATAGGATTGAATTCAAATTTGACTTGTAATATGAATTGAGAAAGATACTCACGGTTTTATTTAAATAAATTACAAATTTCTCAACAAAACTGTTTTTTTTTGGTTGGACTATAAAATACGATAAAATAATATTATTAAATCTCACATGTAAACTTCTGATGAATCGAAACAGTCTCTCAAAATAAAAAATCATACGTACCCTAATCACCATTTTCCTTTAGGAATCATCTAAGCCTGATATTTCTTAAATTATGACCTTAATAAAAGCAAAATATATGCCAAATAATTGTTAAAAACAATTAACAATTTTAGATACTATCTCAGTCTGCCTACGAACTACATATGAGCAGATAGAGGTAAAAGTAAGGATCACTCACACGGCATATTGGAGGAAAGAATAAAGGTTAATTTCTTCCTTCAGCTTTTAAGTTTTGTCACACTTATTCTTTAACAAATTCGCTCGTCAGTTTGCACACATTTCCCAACAGAAATAAAACGTATTTATTAATAAAAAGTCATTATTTTGAAGAGCACTCATACGGCCCGTGTGCGGTGTGAGTGATCCTAAATAATCGTCATAACTTTGGAACGGGACGTGCAAGGAATTTCTGAATTTGTTAATAGTTTTAACATATTCTTAACAATTTTTCTATACTATAAAAAGAAGTGGGAAGGCTTTATTTTCTGAAATAAACATGTTGACGTTTTCTTAAAGCGTGCGGTATGAGTGCTCCTATTTATTGGCCATAACATTTTTATCTTAGGTTTAACAAATTTTTAAACTTCATCGCAATGTTTTAACATATTTTAAGTAAAACTTCCTCGATTTTTGTTAAGATTGAAGCAAGGATCACTCAATCCACATGCACATCTTTGGGTGACCTCGAGCCTTCTTAAGAGGCCCGTAGTAAACGACTACGTCTCCGTTCCGTATGTCAACATTGGCAAAACACACTGGTCATAAACTTTCGTCTTGAGACTGCGAGATTTTGGATGAGCAGTTTACTCGTAATACCGCCCGGGACTTCGTACGCGTGGACCCCGTTTTACCCCCTTAGGGGTTGAATTTTTCAAAATCCCGTCTTAATTTGCACCTATGTTCTAAAAGGGACCCCTTATGCAAAATTTGAGACTCCTAGGACTTGTGGTTTCAGATATTTCGTTATAAGTGAGTCATCGAGTCATCAAGTCCTTTCGCTTTTATGACTTAAGCTCCTATGTCCCCTAGTGGGGCAGAGGGCGTCCACAACAGTCCACCATCGCTTCGGTCTTGAGCTCCAAGTCTTGCCGATCTTCTTCGCCTCGTCTGCCACAGTGCGCTGACAAGTTTGCTTGGGTCGCTCTGGATTGGAACCCCCAAAGAAAACGCGTTTTCCTTGGGGGTTCCAATCCAGAGCCTGCTTTCGCTTTTATAGATATAGATAATACTTACAACTAGAGCAGCAAACATGGCGCCGATCAGGAACCCAGCGGCCACGTCGCTCCAATGGTGCTTATGCTCCACCACCCGCGACAGACCCACGTACCACGCACCCAGCAACGCCGCGAACTGGGCCAAATGACGCAACAGTTTCGAGCCCCTCCACCGGCCTTTTACTTGGATGTAAAACTGGTGAAGAAATGTTGGGTGTTAAAATCATGCCAGATGTCGTGAGAGGCGACTACGGAACAGATATGTGAACATCAGGCCTCCCCAACTGGTCTGGCCATGGGGATTGTCCTTGGACGAATAAGGGTCATAGCAGACTCGTCAACTCGGAAAGGGATCAACACAGTATAGAGTTTCGCGAGCTGTCAACCGCTAGGCGAGCCGTTTAAGTTAGGGTGTGTGACTTGCAGTATGAAGTTTCATACAAAGAATACTGACCACCTCGAGTTGATACGGTTACGATCCCTTTCCGGGCTGATAAATGTGCGACGACCTTAAATCGTCCCAAACCCAATAACCAGCTGCTATAATTCGGATATTAAAAGTAGCAGCTGGTTTTTGGATGGCTATTAAAACACTCTCGTCTTTGGTGCAACCCGAGCCTTAAAGACTGAAACCATAAAGCTATCGATTCATTCATTATAATTGTCAACCTAATCTAAATATTGATTTTCAGTAAATAATGTTACTCCATAATTCATAGTAAGTACTAGGTACCTACTCCAAAGAAGTAGGTAATTATTCTCAATTAGGAAAGTTGTTAGTTCTTTATAGACTATCTTTATAGAATATCAATAAACACAAACAGCCTTATATTGAATTTGTAGCACCAAGGACATCAGCTGTCGATAAATACCACAATAGAGTAAAAAAGCAGATAAGCGTTCTATTGTTTGATCAGTAATTCAATAGATAATTTGAGAACAGAAACAATGAGGAAATAAAAAGACATTGATGAATTGTTTGGGATAAAGATTGTTTCACAAGTTTTTTACTACCTACTTACTTACGTTCAATTCTTGTGATAGTGTGGTGAGCACGAGCATTCAATTTTGATTAGAGAGATTTTAACCGAAGTTTTTTTTCAGTTTGAGAACTTGTGTTTGACCTGAGGGTCATTCAATACATGAAATATGGTAGAAAGGTTTTCACTTTCTTTCACTTCACTTATAGCTACCAACAGACAGTTTTAATACAGCGGGGATTGCTTAAAACAATGTACGATTAGATAAGATAGATATTCTTAATTGCACAGCACACCACACAGAACTAAATAAATACGAGTTCTAAGCAGCACAATTTAGGCATTCTCCTCGCTAGAAAACTATGCTAAGTTATTGTTAGTAGTTAGAGCTAACCTTTGGTCAATGAATTAACATTTGGACTTTTTATCCATAACGAGGAAGCTCCAGCGTCCTGATGGAAAGTCATTCATCACTTTCCAAACCGAAGCTAAGGTGGAAGCGAGTAAATAGGTACATAGTTAACTTTTTTTTATGACCGCAATCGCACCGGATGGTACTTATCAGGGATGTTATAGATATCCGTAACCGTAACCGAAACTTCGGATATCCGAAAGAAAAAAATATCCGTAACCGTAACCGAAACCGGTATAATATTAATCCTATATCCGTAACCGTATCCATAACCGAAACTACATATCCATAACATCCCTAGTACATTATCTGCCCTGTGCCTATTCACTAGAAAGAAAAGGCCCGGATTATAGTGTTCGGGAAGGACAGCAGCAGGCAACTTACGATGAAGAAGATAGCGGTATACATAGCGAAGCTGGAGTGTGCGCTCGGGAAAGACAGTCGCGCCTCCAGGATGAGGCTCGTGCTATTCCCAGTACATGTGTAGTTCTGGATGTAGCCCAGCACGTTCTCGTCAGACTGGTTGGGCACTGGGAGGCAGACCTGTGAAGATATTAGGTATACGTTTTAGGGGCTGTGTTATCGTAGACACGTTTTGCTGCGTTTTGTAGTTTTGTTGTATACGTCTTTGGACGTCCAACCGCCTCTGTGGTCTAATAGTAAGACAACCTGTCTAATATTCAGGTCCAGGGTTCGATTCTTAGTGACGGCAAAAGCATTTAGTAGCCAAGGTCACTTCGAGCAATTAACATTTATTGTCACTGGAGTTGATAGAAACCACCCACATATAAATGAAGATCACATTATTCTTTGATCCAAGGTACCTTTATAATCTAATTTCGATTTGCAATTAATGCATTAATGTTTATACCCTATGATAAAAATACAGTCTGCAAATTATGACGATGTTACCGATACCGACAAAAAAGATACTATAATTAAAATAGAACATTCCTAGAAAGTTTTCAGGATAACTTAAAAGTCAGTGTTTTTCATATGCAAGGTTAAGACTAGCTAGCTATCAGTGTTTTTCATATGCAAGGTTAAGACTAGCTAGCTATATGTATATAGGTTCACTCGTCATGTCTGTGAACAGGCGCTGCTTTCGGGGATTGGTCAATCCAAGTTATTCAAATTTATGTATGCGAGTCATTTCTACTAGTACCTTAATATGTAAGTCTAGATATTAGCACGTCACTACCTTGTTTAATATACCACGCAATCTTGTATACCCATTCTTATGATACACCATACAAGATTGCATGGTAAATTCAGTGAACTGCTCCTGAATCGAATGTACCTACTACTACTATTTCTATTTATTTATATTAACCGGCAGACAGTGGTGACTGAGTTTGTTGCGGCGCTTCTTCTCAGCACTTGCCAAATGTTGGTCTCGAAGCGCTGGTAGGGTAAAAAGATTATATGAGACATGTAGAGGCTCCTTAAGAGCATATGACGATTTGTAAGAACTATTTATTAGTCTAAACAAATAAAGAAATTTTGACTTTGACTTTGACTATAAAACTTGCAGAAGTTGTTACCACTGTAAATATCTGTGGCAAGCCAACTTCTGCAAGATTTACACAGTGGTGAACTGGTGACAGCTTGCTGAAGTCAACTTCTGCAAGTTTTGGCCTAGGCGCAGACCACTGACTTTTAGTTGGACGATGGTTGGGTCGGGCTGTTCATCAGTATGGATATGTATGAAAGTGCGCACATTACACCGATTTGGTATCGGCCGATTCTTCATACAAATTAGAAGAAGGCGGTCAGCGCATTGGCTTATAGCTAGTCTAAACCTCACTTTAAGCTAATTTCCACTTACATCATAGAAATGTGGCCGCAGCCTCCCGATGACGTATTTGCTGGTGTTTGACACCAGCTGCTGACACGCGGCTCCGAAGGTGAACACCCCGATCGTGACGTAGCTCTCCCAAACCCACCCTGGGACTAGAGCCCCGTTAATGAATTTCTCCCCAATGCCGGATCCTCGCTTGTCGCGGATTACCTCTGTGATGATAATCTGAAATAAAAAGTAAAAGTGTTCAGTGATTTTGTGATTCAAAGGCCCGTTTAAAAATTAGATATAGGTAGAATAGAATATAATAGAATTACTTTATTCAGCATTGAACATTTTAGGTGCATTCGTAATTAATTTTATTAAGGCTGAAAAGGTGCCCGCTTCGTGAATCGTGATATAACACAAGTCGTCAAGTCACGAAGCTGGTTTTCAGCGGTTAGGTACCACCAACGCACGACGGCGGGTATTACGCGACCTTTTGACACTGACCTCCTTATTACAAAAAGTTAGACTCTGGTTTAAATTGACTTTTAGTATGAAAATGTCATTTTAAACCAGTGTTAGTTCAGGGTTTAACTTTTTTGTAATTCGGCCCTGATGGTTTATCATCAGTTTTATCTCTATAGATTCAAATGCAGTGAGCTATTCTATCCTGAAAATTTTCAAGTTATATGAAATATCAAGAATAAAAGTGTATCTCGTAGAACCTGGTAGCAAGCATGAGACAGCGGTAACAATTGGCGATTTCCCTTCTATGATCTGAGGTGATTTCTGTTGTGTCTCAATTCGCTGGTACTTGAAAGAGCGTAGATCGAAGAAAGTACCAGTCAGTATGTATATGTAAGTAGGTATATTTAAGTTTAATAAAATAGTCTCTACTATCAGGTGGATGGTATACGATGGACATGCCCATAACTTAGTAGACTGGTGACGTCATACTTTCAAGACATACTTATTGAGATTTATAGACTTGATGATAGATGATATTCTATCCAATATTGGCCAATTTTAGGGCAGCTGTGATGTAACTATACGACCTTTTAAGAGGGCTAGATCCGTGCTTGCTACTTATTAAGTTCAGACTGAAGGGTCCTCCCAAGTTTTCTAGAAACAAGGACTTTTTGAGAAGACTAAGTATTTAGCGGTAGTTTTGATATAACCACAACCTTTTATGGGCTAGATCCGTGCCTGTGATATTTACTTACGAGTATAGTTAGCCCTAGCCTTCCCAAGCTTGAAGTTTTCTAGAAACTTTTGAGAGAAGCATTGGGGGAGGCCTTTGTTCAGCAGTGGACGTCCTATGGCTGAAATGATGATGATGATGTGATGATGATGAAGTATACATTTAAAACTTAGACGAAAGACAGTTAGAGGAGGATATGTACTTACCGCAACCACAATTAAGCCGAAGCCCACGCCAGCCAGTAGACCCTCAGATATGGACTCCTGCTTGTATGGCAGACGGATGGACATGTCAAACTCGAAGTAACCCCGCTCGTATGGTTTGCCCCATAGCAGTATAGCGAGGAGTGGAAACCCCACTGAAAAATCAAATTGAAATCGTGAAGCTTTAACATAAAGATCAGTTTTAAATAAAACGCTTATTTATTATTATTATTTTGTGTAAAAGACAAATTGTAGACAGGTCAAGGGAAGTTAAATAACTATATGTCACCCTCTAAAACAGTGGTTCTTAACCTTTAAATCATTAGGGACCAATTTTACCTTTCTGTCTTGTCAGGGACCACCTCATAATCGGTAAAAATCAGTTTGACTGCAAAAACCTGTTAAAAGTGGTTTTAACCAAGGTGTGCAAGTGCACTAAACTTCGTAGACCACTTGGAATGTCTCCAGGGACCACCGGTTAAGAACCACTGCTCTAAAAGATAGTAGGTACTAGAGATGAAACGGATAGTTGTTTGGCCGGATACCGGATACCGGATATCCGGCGAGCTGCTAGGCCGGATAGCCGGATATCCGGCGGCCGGATAGTTGTCCCATTGTCATGTTGCATGTCGTAACGAGTTTAGCGCCGCACAGGTGCTTCTAACGCGATCAGTGGGTCTAGTAGACAAGACAAGTCACACTTTTCGAAAATCGAATTCGTTCGAATAGAATGTCAGATTTTGCCACTAGTCTAAGGGGCAGATCAATTCGGGCGATTTCGGTTGCCATCGTGAGTATGTGATTGAATAGCGAAAATTCAATTAGTTTACTTGCTGCGTAATCTGACTTTATCTGACTGAACTGCATTATACAGGGTGACTTTGAAATCGTTGGCATTCTTTTTAAAATAAGACTTTACTCATGATTCCCCAAATATGAGTCATATCAAATGAATTAAAATTCAATATTTGAAATCTTGTACAGACAGCACATCAATCTTCATACTGTATTACTGTGGCATGTTATTTCAATGTATTAAGTGCTACAGAAATGAGGAGATCCGTAAACGAACCAAAGTCGCCGACATAGCCCGACGAATTAGCAAGCTGAAGTGGCAATGGGCAGGGCACATAGTACGCAGAACTGACGGCCGATGGGGCAGAAAGGTTTTGGAATGGAGGCCGCGTACCGGAAAACGCAGCGTGGGACGTCCACCTACAAGGTGGACCGACGACATCGTAAAGGTAGCAGGGAAGCGCTGGACGCAGGCCGCTACCAATCGATCAACATGGAAAGAATTGGGGGAGGCCTATGTTCAGCAGTGGACGTCCTATGGCTGAAATGATGAAGTGTTATTTTGCAACCAAATGTATAGGATGATGTGCTGTTGACTGGACAATAGTTATAAACTCTTTTTAAGAGCACACTAATACAAATACATAGTTAAAATAATGACAAAAAATCTCATTGGATTTGTCTCATATTTGGGGAATGCACTATGTATCATGAGTAGTCTTTATTAGAAGGATGCCAACAATTTCAAAGTCACCCTGTATGTGATCAGACCATCGGTGAAAAAAAGATCGCCTATTTTATTTGATAATATTTCGACAATAAAATATATTTACTATTTATGTATTCGTCATTAGAGTGAATAGCCCAGAAAGGAAATTTTGGAAGGCCTTAATATGTTTTTTTTGTAACTTTTTGGACTTTAGATAAAAACCGTCATTATTATAAGCCATTTAATTGATATTTAACTCAAAGATTAATGTGTTTCATTTTATTATAGGAAATTTTCGTAGTTTTTTAATATCCGGTATCCGGCCGGATAGTGAGCTACTATCCGGTATCCGGCCGGATAGAAAATTTTGGCCGGATATCCGGCCTACCGGGTAGTTGCCGGATATCCGTTTCATCTCTAGTAGGTACTGCTAACATAAAGATCAGGTTCAGGATAAAAGGACAGGTTGTAGAAAGGCTTAGACTTATATGAAGTTACTAGCTTTTGCCGGCGGGTTCACCCGCGTGAAATTTAGTTTGTCATATAATTATCGTCATAAATTATAGCCTATATGTTAATCTGGGTTATAAACAATAATACTGTGAAGTTTCAACAAAATCCGTTCAGTAGTTTTTGCGTGAAAGAGTAACAAACATCCATACATCCAGACATCCAAACTTTCGCATTTATAATATTCGGCCATTCTCAGATGAGCTAGTTTTTGCGTGTCCGGGCTGATAAATCGTTAAAAATGACAAATTAGAGACATGCAAGTATTTTTATATGTTACTTAACAACCCTATCCAGTTGTGCATTAAATCATAGGCCTCTATTTTAAGTATTTGCGTCTAAATTAATTTCATGAAACCCTGTTTTCTAATTACCGTTACGCGTCCGCACACCGACTTAATGTTAAAAGTTGGCTGTAATTTTTATGTCGTAAAGATTTGGTTTACTCCATTCAACATTTTAAAGAGTATAAAAGATTGTCTTATGCATGGCAAAATATCTATTCAATAGAACCATTCTGTAAATAATTAGAATTAAAAAACTGCTTGTCCGAGCGAAAATCCTAATTCCCGTGACGTTTTTTGTTTTTGGGCACACAAGCCTAAATAATAATATTTGACACATCATTTACGCGCGCGGCGCGAGCCCTTAGTTAGTTCTATGACCTGTAAGCAAGTAGACGTCTATTGCGTTGGCGTACCGTCGATGAATTGCGTAAGAGTATAATTACCATATCTTTGGTTTTCAATTTTTCTATTTACCATGTCCTTATTTTTAAACTAGATTTTTGAAGGTAGATCCACGTTGTTGTAATAACTTTTAAACTAAGCGGTATATCCTAATAAAATAAAAACAGTAATAATGCTAAATAACAGGCGATACTAAAAAAATACATAAAATACACAAAAAAGGCCAAAAAATAATAAAAAAATATACTTTTTGAAAAAAATCTGCGTAAAAATTCGTGTTTTTTTGGTTATTTGATAAATTTCTCCAAAAAATGCCCCTATAACTGGTGGTTTTTATTACTTTGTATTATTTTCTATCATATTACCTTCGTAAAACCAAAAATCGCATGTCTCTATCCCTATCACAACGTTTGCAATGATCGTTTGAACTAAGCCTCTCCGAGCGCGCCATTCAACGCTTTGTTAACAACAAAACTGAAAATGGCCCTAGATTTGTAATTTTGATAAAGACAAGTTAGATTTCAAATAAAAACAAAAGATTTCGATGTAAAATAAGCATTTTAGTGAAAATTAAAATTGTCTCTACCTGTAGCGGAGAATAATGTTGTGGCAGGCCTTTGTTCAAACGATCATAGCAAATGTTGTGATAGGGATAGAGACATACCATTTTTGGTTTTACAAAGATAATACGATAGAAAATAATACAAAGTAATAAAAACCACCGGTTATAGGGGCATTTTTTGGAGAAATTTATCAAATAACCAAAAAAACACGAATTTTTACGCAGATTTTTTTCAAAAAGTATATTTTTTTATTATTTTTTGGCCTTTTTTGTGTATTTTATGTATTTTTTTAGTATCGCCTGTTATTTAGCATTATTACTGTTTTTATTTTATTAGGATATACCGCTTAGTTTAAAAGTTATTACGTTTTCTTTACAATAAGTAATTGGAAGAAAAAAAATTCTATAAAAATTTAAAAAAAAATCTCAAAAAAATTTTGACCTCTTTTTTGTCGATAAAAACAGGTCTAGTTTTATCTATTCTCATATGTACACTTTAACGTGACTCACACTGTATTTTCTAATTACCGTTAGATTAAGTATTAGCCTTATCTAATTACCGTGACCATAAAATTTTTGGATCTCATTTACGCGAAAACCGCTTTGAATAATTTGACGCCTTTACGATTGTTAAATTCGTACTTTTCATGTGTTTTATATTTAAATACGTTTAAGTCAATTAAGCCAAATTTCAAAAATAATATGGTAATTAGGCTGAGAACGCCTAATCGTGAGAATGGCCGTATTAGTAGGATCTGGGTTATAAACAATAATACTGTGAAGTTTCAACAAAATCCGTTCAGTAGTTTTTGCGTGAAAGAGTAACAAACATCCATACATCCAGACATCCAAACTTTCGCATTCATAATATTAGTAGGATCTGGGTTATAAACAATAATACTGTGAAGTTTCAACAAAATCCGTTCAGTAGTTTTTGCGTGAAAGAGTAAAACATCCATACATCCAGACATCCAAACTTTCGCATTTATAATATTAGTAGGATAAATATGGGGGGAGACCCCAAAAAGAAGAAATAATGCAGCACTGGGAGGTGATTTTCCTAGTTGTTAGAGAGTCCTTGGATAGGATCCCATTGATTTAGAACTGCTGCAGAACTCAGTTGCAGTTGTCAGAAATTAAAAAATAGTTAGGCAGAATCTGTCATGTCACGGACTATTTATCTTTCTGGAGTTGTAGGCTGATTTTGTGGGTTTTACTCATTAGTTGTCCTGTAGACGTCATTAAAATTTGGCTGAAACAATTATTATTTGCGAATAAAACACGTAGGTGTGTAATGATTTCCGATTTAATTACTTTTGTAAGGTTATTACAGGTAAAACTTTATTAACATTGGGTGAAATCTGACCTTTTTAAGGGCATTTCGGCATTTTGTATGCCCTTCGTGTAAGGCCTTAATCTTCGTATTTAATTATAGTTATTTACAAGTAATACCGCGTAATACTTAAAGGCAAAACAATAAAACATTTATTGGGTGCTTATTTATTTATTATTTCACTATCTCTTAAATCGTTGCATCGATACTAGATCGATGTGTTAGGTACCATATACCTAGGTACATTTATTGTAAAACTTATTATTTTAAATGAACTTATGATTGCTAAGTACTAAGTAGCCTTTAATATCACTCTTGCAATTCAATAACTTTCACAAAGGGCTGACTTGCACCACCTAACTTTAACCGTGACTATAACGATAACCGGTGTATTTTGTATGGAGTTTGACAGATTTTTGACGTTTGTTCAAGTCAAAGTAAGATGGTGCAACCCAGTTAACTTAAGCTTTTTAACACTTTGGTTAAACAAAACAACATCACACCTTAATATAGGTCCTTCCTATACTCTGGTGAGTATAGGACCAAGGTGGTCCTTGATCAGCTTGATTAACAAGATTTATGTTGTAAAATAACACTTACTCGTATTGTTCGTATTGTAAAATGTTACAGTTAGCTTGATATATACCACAATCTTATCCAAAGAACCATTGGTTTGATTGATTTATTTCACGGGTTGCCGGCTTTTCCTTAACCACCAAGGTTAGGTTAGTTTTTATTGTATCTCGTTATCTGTCAATGCGCAGAAATCTACTTGATTTCACTAATCAAAAGTAAATAATGTTTGTTTTAGCTAAAGACTTCCAGATAAATCGAATTACAGGTTATATTATTATGTACGTAAGTGTAAGTAGTTCGTTTGTTTCAGCCGAATGACGCCCACTGCTGGATAAAGGCCTCCCCCAAGGATTTCCACAAAGACCGGTCCTGCGTCGCCCGCATCCAGGCACCTCCCGCGACCTTCACCAGATCGTCGGTCCACCTAGTGGGAGGCCTGCCCACACTACGACTTCGTAAGTGTAGTGCAGTCGCCATATTTCTGGTGGTTCGCATACAGATTACAATGCCAGCTGTGATCGCAGGTTCAAATCCCGTTGGGGGCAAATAATGCATTCATTTATGTACAGTCTAGCTAGGTAGGATTCATAATAAGTAAATAAGTTTTTTTATCCTGCAAAATTTATTATTAAGTTTGCTGCAATATTGAACATTATTAATTAAAATATTGTTTCACACAGAAGATACTCTGTAGATTTGATTAATTCGAAATAGTGGCCCTGCTAAAATGCGGAAAAGGTTTGGCGTCAGTTTGTCTATCGCGTCGTAACCTTGCCATTTGGACACCCCTCTGACGTCACTAGTGGGATTGAATATTGATTTTGTTATTTATGTAAACGTACCCGATCAAACCACAACTCATCCAGGGAACATTTTGGCAACAAGACGATTTGTATAATATTTTAAACTATTATGTTGCATTTTTTACTATATCACACCGTTATAAAAGGTTTGTTGTAAAATCCCGTGGAGTGATAAGACGATTTTTGTTTTCATTTTCCTTTTTAAATAAAAATAATTGGCATGTAGCTAGTACCAGATTACCTTAATACGAGTAACTTAGGACCTGGATGATTTAATGACTACCTAGTTTATGAGCTCTTAATCAGAAAAATAAGTAAGATCTGATAAGTAAGTAGGCCTAAATGCCTAGGTTGCGAAGTTTCAAGCTGCCTAGTTTTAATGCTATATAAAATAAATGATTGGTACCGGATTAAGGATTATACGATTATTTTGATACGAGTTTTCACTCATACCTACTCGTATAAACATTCCTACATAATTTAGATAAATATTAATGAATATTGATAAAACGGACAAGAGAAATGATAACAGATATTAATATTGAATAACTCTAGCCGTAGTAAGTCCGTATTGTAAAGCTAATCAAATTTTAATAATCCACAAAATATGTATCTGATTCTGACATCATGCCTGAATAAAATAAGAATGCAGTCATATGAATAAGTAGTCAAAACCTAAACCAAAAGGTAAAACAATCCCACGTGTAAATACATCTTAGTTTTATCCTTATCTAATAAGGTAGGCGAGCGGTGCATAAAAACAGTTAAGTTACAGGGAAATACCTAATTTTTCATTAATGAGTGACTCCCTAGAGCTACTTAAGGCCCACCTAGGGTTGCCAGGTCCAAAATCACAAAAGCCGGACTTTGTGCTTCATTTGGCCGGACATTTTACCCTAAAAGCCGGACATGTGATGGTAATTATTAAGGTAAGGTGGGGCACAATGTTACAATGCATATTTCTCCGTCCCTTTCTATTACTTGTATGATGTTGGTATACACGTTTGTCAAGCTCATAAGAGCTGCTGAACTGAGCCGCTGAACATACAACTATAGAAAGGGAAGGAGAAATATGCATTGTAACATTGTACCCCGTGTAACATTGTGCCCCACCTTACCCTACTGTCATCATCGGTTGTTGACCAACATCCTGATACGTGCGCGTATGATTCTGTGGCTCGACTTGCAAATATCCAAATTTCCAAATAAAAAGCCTAACAAAAGCCGGACAGGCCGGACAAGGCAATATTTGGCCGGACAAGTCCCTAAAAAGCCAAACATGTCCGGCTAAAGCCGGACGCCTGGCAACCCTACGCCCACCACTGGATGTTGACCCTGAATCCTTAGATGCGGACATTCAATTGCACTAATGTCAAAATTACCGCCAAACAATAATAACACACATACATCGCCTTGACACGCCACTTACAGTCACTAACAATCACATAAAAGTTTTATATGTGTCACACAACTTAATTACTTAACAGTAACCCAATAAAATCTACAAAAAACTTACCGAGCAAAAGCGTGACGAAGTCCAAAACGATTTTCCAAATTAACCTGTCCACTGCCATTTCACAAATTCACGAAAACATTAAATAAAATTGCACACAACACAACACTACGCGCGCGCGATCACGAATGACTACCTAGTGGTTAACTCATCGCCATGTAAATAACCACAATCTTTTAGATAAGACTTATCATTTTATCATTACGATTTTGCACTTGAAATCAATTTTATGAAGGTAGAAATAATGTTAATCGGGGGCTCATTATTAGCAAGTTGATAAATGGAGAAAATTGGGTTTACTGTTGTGGTCCTTTTTTGGTGCTAGGTGACGGAAAGAGAGGGGATTTGGCAAACACTCTCGTACCGTCTTTTGTTTTGTAAAAATTAGAACTTAATAATTATTTTGAAGTTTAACGCTGATTTGAACTCAATTTTCTGTAAATTTGGATTTTTTTTAATTTTCTTTAATGATACAGTTAATTAAATTAATAATTGTGAGCAGCTGTGCTCACAATGTTGCAATATGGTTAGATTAAAACGCAAGCAAAGATTTCCTGCAACGAAGCTGTTTAATAAAGACGGTATTTCTCGGTAGATGTCGCTACTGGTATACGTTTGTTCATAATTTTTCATGATGGAGCATGTAGAAAAATAAGTTTTGTCTATTTCTTTTTGTATTCATTTGTATTTAATTTATTTTTTTATATTTTAAAAAATACTACTAACAAAAAATACGCATCACATTCGTTTGCCAGTAGTTTTTATGTTTTTGTCACTCGGTAAATAAATACAACATTTTTAAATCAGACCAGTATTTATTATGCTTTCAATACTTTAACCACGTAATAAATAAGTGTAAATAAATATAGTTGCCATAGTTTCTATACAAGGCAGTGCGTGCAAGCCTTCAGTTTGACTAAACTCTTAAAAATAATAATAAGTGATAATATTCGTCAAATAAATCAGTCATTAAAAAAAGATAAATATTTTTTCTTTCTTTCTTTCTAAAAGACCGAGACTGGTGCTGCCAAATGTGCCTGCGGACACTTTTGGAACTATCTACGTTGACGTGTGTCACTTTATGCTAGTAGTTCCAAAAATATCCGCAAAGTTTGTGATGGTGGCGCCACTGTAACTTGTTGTTTGTTGTAAGTCCGACTCTCGCTTACATCTGTTATCACATTTCGTCTCTCTCATTCATATTAGAATACCAGTGCAAGCGAGAGAGATGGAATATAGCAATCTTTTCTTGACGAATATTTAACAGTTATTATTGAACCCCAAAGAACTGTGCAAATTGTGCAAAATCATAAAAATACAACTAAGGACTAAAGGTGGTTTCCCTCTTAAATATTTTATAAGTTAGTAATATTTTAATGACGACAGATATGATATTGCATCGTTCAAATAGCAACCGGTAAATAAAAGTACCTAGTATAACTATAATCGAATTTCAAAGTTAAAGTTGTCAAGTAGTAAAATGTTGGCGCTTATAACACATCAGACTATACATTTTTATTGGAAAATGGCACCTAATGCTATTAGCATAAGGTGCAACAGTGTTAAGCTTGATGTGCCATCTAGCGGACAAGTACAGAATTAAACAGAGGCTCCGCATTTACAGGGTTAATTAATCCATCGAAAATGATACAATGAGGGTTTTCGCGTTTGAAAAATCCGCCAGATGGCAATACGTAGACGCGAGGTCCAAATGCTGCATGATTGGTTATTTTTGACATGACATTGACAGATATATCAAAAATAACCAATCATGCAGCATTTGGACCTCGCGTCTACGTATTGCCATCTGGCGGATTTTTCAAACGCGAACCCTCATTGTCATATTTGTCCGAGTTACTCATACGAGAACATATAGGTACGCCATAATCGAAGAAATAATATTTCATGAACAAATACTTATCCTGCGCACTGGTTATATAGAGTCCACATCAATTTGAACTTTATGCCATAAAGATACGGTTGAAAACCCAATGACATTTTTTTAGCCAGAATAAGGGGTAATGATAAATAATAATGACCTGTAAGAGAGCCCTGTTTAACCAATGAGATAATGAGATAGACTGAGATAACAATAAAATTGCATAATAACATTTGCACTTCAATCTTTACAACTGAGAGACGTATTTTTGAAACACTCGAAACCGAAATTGCAGAGTTGCATGGGAAATGAAAAAGTATTTGATTTATCATAGGTCCAACACTTAACTTAAGTCAGTGCCTGAGTTATGGGAGCGGCACGGGAGGGGTGACATTGATATGTTACGACGTGACACAGCATACAAATCAGAGGTGGAATGAGGGCTATCGTTTATAAACTTAACAGTTGGCACCCCTGGCGATTGACAGGATCTTACTCTACAGTGGCGCCATCTTGATGAGTGCAAATGCGATAGTCCTCCTACCACTTTCGCGCTCACCAGTTGGTGCCACTGTCTTCGCTACTAGCAAGTGACAGGACCTTACTCTACAGTGGCGCTAACTGGTGAGCGCTAAAACGATAGCCCTCATTGTGTAAAGCAATCGTAATCATTTGACAGTTCATAACGTACGATTATTCTGTCAAACGCTTTGTTTATCTGACTTTAACGTACGTTATGAACTGTCAAATGATTACGATCGCTTTACACAATTCCACCTCTGAAGCATATTTGAAGTCTCATTGACATCTCATCCTCCCAGTCCCGTGCCGTTGACATACCTCAGGCACTGGCTAAGTTAAGTGCTAGACATATTATAACTTTAAATTTTTCAGTGTGAAACGAAAACAGATTAAAGATTTAGTTCAGTTAAATGTGAAATTGAGAGTATTAGAAAACATTTCTGCACATGATTTGTTTCCATGCACTAATAAAATTAAAGAAACGATTCGATTGTTCCAAATATACCTCCCCCAGTTGTCTTTTCTTTTCTTTTAGCAACATTTTAAATAACTTTATACATTACAATTTAAAATATAGAACATTTAAAACCTAACACATAACGTGCCACATAGAAGTAAAAGATCTATTCTAAAACTATAAGTTACACTTAACTAGCACCTATGAAATTGATCCTAAAACTATACACCAAGATTGACATACTGAAATCTTTTATACTTTAGCAAATTAATGGTTAAACTCTTTCTGTCATTGGCATTTTAGCATTTGACAGTAGAAAACAAAACACTGTGACAAATGTTCATACGAGTCTCCTGTTAAATATTAAACCTTATCCACTTGCAATAAAGGGTTTTTGTTGTCAATAGTACAGCAGACATCATATTAAAAACTGCTAAACGTCATTTTGACACGACAAAGGTAACCTTTAACTTGGTGAGATAACATGTCTTAAAGATCGTTTCATCCACGAAGACGCGCCCACCAATTTTTGGTCGAGGGAAGCGCGGGGTGCGTGGAGTTTGATCCGAGCAATCCGAGCGTCATTATTGTAGTGTGCGTGTGCACTCATGGATGATTTAGCGTGTACCGACAACGCTCAAACATTAGCGAAAGAATGGTGGGGCGCGTCTTCGTGGATGAAACGATCTATAACAACATCTAAAAATATATCTTTAAAGATTTCAGAATGTGAGCCTTGAAGTGACGAGCCCAATTGGTACCATGTAATATTCTCTTTCTATTACAACTCTATATCACAGTATAAAATACATTCTTCCACCGTCTTTCAGACCGTAAAAGATCTATAACTAAACGATAAATAAAATAAATGAGCGTCGCAGACTTTCCTATAGAAGTGGTATTAAATGCATTTGAAAATTCTCAAATGTTTCCGTAACTACAAGAAGCTATATTTAATTTAATTAACTTAATTTTAATATAATTGTACTTCATTCTGCACACGTTTTAATGTAACTGTAGTCAATTAAAACGATAAAGAGGGTGTAGTAAAGTGAATTTGTGTAAAACATTAAAAGTACCAAATTAAACAGGTTCCTTTTGCAGTATTTTTGGAACGTGTAATACAACCGAATTACAGCGTTTAATTTTTTAATGAGACCCCATTATCAATGCACAGCGCTAATTTGCATGAAAGGTGGAATGGGAGTTTTTTCACGATTTCGAAAATCATGTGTATTAATTTATATCGTTGTGTCGTGTTGAATAATTGTTGCCAGCATATTTTGAACTTTAATCATGTGGACTTAAAACAAGTCCTACCACCAACTATACCGAGCAGAAAATTTACGTTAGCTGGAATTGAAACCCGGGACGTTCGGGTCTTATTTGGTAACTTTTAGTCAAACACAAATTCGCCAATACCCGGTTATTTCGAATTGTTTCTTATTTACACTAAAGATTTGTCCTACTATACAAGTTAAATATTTTAAAATAAAACATAAATAAATGAGAATAGAACATGAAATAAAATTATTAAGTAGTGCGAAGAATAATACAGACAGTTTTATCTAAGCCAAAATAGCTAAAGCTGAAGTATTAAAATTAAGAGACTATAATAATGTGTGCAAAAGCATCGGTACTTGTACTATAGCTACTTACTTAACTGCATTCGTTATAATCAGTAAAATATTTAGATCAGTAACTATTCTAATAAAGATCTTTGTTAAATTCTGTAAAGTGGCGAATTTCCACAATTTTGCGATTCTGAAGATCTTTCTTTAAATTGCATTGAAAGATCAAAACTTGGACACCCTTGACTTGACAAATGTCAATGTCAAATGTCATATCGTAACAGAAAAGGAATCGTGTGAGATATTTCTTTTGCGATAGGAACAACACGAATATGTTAGTAATAATACTACTAATACCCGAACGTATTCTCTATCCTTATTAGATCGTTTGTTTAACAACAAAATTGCACTATTCAGTAACCTTAATGAGTCTTAAATATAAGTCAATACATGGAGTATAATGACTAACAATAGCCCCCATTGTAAATATCAACAAATAAAACATCGTAGTTGCCAATAATAATAATAATATACATATTTAAATGTGAGTGAATAATTTCACTAACAACATCTAAACAAATTAGTTCATCGATTTTTACAATATTATTTACAGGGAATATAATTATTGTACATAAATACGCCACCAGGGCAAACAGGAGTCCATAAGGCATAAACAGAATACATCTTATATACAATGACCAGTCAGAAACACATATTTCTATGCAAACATGCTAATATGGGAAACTGGTGATACGTCAACGCCAGATCTAGTGTCACACTTATAATACTAACACTGACCTCATCTTTTAAGTAGTTCATTACAAGGGTTGAACCGTAACAGGAATAAACAAGCAGCTGTTAAACGTGATATGAAATTCCTTATGATAAATAGGTACATAGAATACATAAAATACGCCATCTAGAAAAAGATTTTACACTTGATAAATCGACCCCAGCATCTTGAACATAGGATATGTCAATCCATTAAACAAACAGTAAAATTACAATTATTCCACTCGATATGTTCAAGTAATAATCATATTCTAGATAACTCATAGAGCTGTCATTAAAGTGTGAAACCCACTTAACTGCCTGGAGAACTACAGCTACTGCTACATTTGTACAACCTTTCTTCAAGTCACCACAGGATCAGTTTTACACGTCCATATACTCGTGGGAGATCCAAGAGATGGTGACGTTGGGTGACTCCTGTCATGGCTCCTCATCGCTGACGGATTGGGAGCTGGTGGGGGTCGGATGTCAGACTTGCACACGAGTTGCTGAGCGGGTGTTGCCGTTGGTAGCGTGCAGTTCGGCGTCAAGGTGGTTCAGGTTTTGTCGCGATCGTGGCGTCTTGCGGAGCCCTGAGACGAAGAGGAACTGCAACAATGAGTTATAAAGTTTAGTCTAAGCGCAGATTACCGACTTTTAGTTGGCCGATAGTTGAGTCGAGCTGTTAATCATTATGGAGATGTATGAAAATGCGCACATTGGATCGGCCGATTTTTCATAAAAATTAGAATCGGGGCCAACTATCGGCCGACTATAATAACATTTTTGAAACATTTTGCCATGTTTATGGGTCGATCAACTGCTGATCATTAATTTTATTTTTTTAATTTTGCTCCACTGAAGGGGGAAAAGTTAGGTCGTTATTGTGGACACTCAATTTTTAACAGCCTTTGTGATTTCCTTTTTTTTTTTATTTACACGCATTCGTTGCAGGTCGCATTCAACCTCTAGGTCAGAAATTAAATAATTTTTTAAAGGAGATTGATTGCGAGTTGCGTGCGACATAGCCTAACGAGTAACTACACCTATTTGGCTAGTAGCAAGTAAAGATTATGAAAATAATAAATATTAATTAGCGCTGTGATAAATGCTACGAAAAAATCACGTCAATTCCTTACATTTTACGCTTAATTAACATTTTTTCACAATTTTTTTTGACACAAAATAATATGAGCGATCAAATATTGTAATACAAGTAATTAATCAATAATAACATTAAACGATTTACTGTGCCCAATTCATTATAAATGCTTTAATTATAATTTTCACACACCGCTTGCGATTGTATTATACTTTTTATGCGTTAAGTAGTTTCTAATCCATTTATTTTAATTTATTTTAAATACAGTGCTTACTATGCGTTAAACAAACGTTACAGCAGTTACGTTACGTTTACGTTGTAACTTATTCATAAAGCTAACAATATTTTACTTTTATTAGTGTACACTGAAAATACACCGTTGTACTATAATTTTAATTTAATGTAATGTTGTAACTTGTAAATTTAAGGAAATAGCATAATTCAACACGCCACCGAACTAACAAAACATGTTCGATGCCCATTGCACAGCGGGTAGCGTTGCAAGGAATATAAAGAGAAAACTACGAACCCGTTAAAGTTTATTTTACAAGCTCGTTCCCGTAACTGCGTCGACATTGATATACATATTACATCAAGTAGCCTGAGTATTTCTTTCTTCTAGGTTTCATGATTATCTATTTGCATACTGATTACTTATAATTGAATAACTAATTGCATATACACTTTTAAAAAAGCAAAAATACATCTATGCTTTTGTAAAGTGCCTGTCGAAACGAAACAGATTAGAGTCATAATTGATTTTACGATATAATTTACCACTTTTTACATATTATTATGACGTTTTCAAACGAGAAGGCTTATAAAATAACTGTGACAATAATTCAAGCCTTATCAATTTTAAGAGAAACAGATTGAAGTCTTATGACTTATGATCATTTAGACACATACGTCCTTGTTAGCAGAGTACGTGACGGTCTTCTTCTTCTTATAGTGTTGACAACAAACCTACACAGTATCAACCCAAAACTCCGCTACAAGAGTGGCGTGACGGTTAAAAGAGGGTTATTTACAAACAGTGTTTTGAAATACAGCAAGTCAAAGACACTTACCACAACTACAGCGTACAGCAATCCAATACTGGACCCGGCGAGCACGTCGCTCCAATGGTGTTTGTAGTCGGAGATCCTGGTCATCATGGTGTACCATAGCATGAGGAACAGCATAAGCTGGAGAGCGTGCTTGAGAAGCTTCGAGCCGTCCCAGGTGAAACGTTTTTGGATATACATCTGGAAATGATAAATTCGTTGTTTTTTGTGGGAAAAGAGAGAAAAATTAGATAGGAAAGATTCTTGGCGATCTTTATCTCAAAACTTGACTCAAATTCAAGCTTAGATTCAATGTGCTGTTGGTTGTATTTAAATATTTGGACAAAATATGTATAAGCTCGAATGTTATGAATGAATATACCAATCATCGTCATTGCCATGAAGGGTTAACGGGACTACTCGTAGTAATTTGTGCAATACAAACTACCAATATTGTTTTTTAAAAATCATTAACTTCTAGATCTGAATGTCATTTTGTAGGACGAGGCTTGAGTCTTTTTCTACCAGTGTTGTATGGATCAAATTCCAATGAATATGAATGCTTCAACAGTTACATGTTGGATGCAGGCCGCCACCAACCGGCCATTGTGGAAATCATTGGGGGAGGCCTATGTTCAGCAGTGGACGTCCTATGGCTGAAATAATGACGATGATGTTGAACAGTTAAATAGCATCTCTAAGTTGAAAAAACCTATTTTATTTGCTAATCTTTCTATCAAAACATACTTACCGCAAAATATATCATCGAATACGCCGAGAAGGACGAGTGTCCACTAGGGAAGGACAGCCGCATTTCTTTGAGCAGCTTCCTATCGTCGTTCAGACATTCAAACACTTCGATATACCGCCATCTGTTGTCCACTGAGTTGCAATCGATGTTCGGCTTGCACACCTGTAACAAGGAGACAAAAATATTGAAATTATGTATTTGTATAGTAAACATGATTATCAAATTCTGAATGATATAATATAAATTATATTATTCCTATTTACTATTTTTACTCGTGTATACGATCTAGCTATAAAATCAAACCATGGAATTATATTTCGCACATTTGGTGCAACAAAGGCACATGTCCAAAACATTACATTCAGGAGTTGTAATGGGATTTTTTCACGTTTAAAATTACTAAATGAAAATATAAATTTTTCACAATTTGGGTATTTCAACTGTCTCAAACTTGGCATTACCGTTAAAATAACGGTATCATACCATGCAAATTTCGTCATTTAAGTCTCGACAGACAACGAGCACCCACTTACGAGTGATGGGCCTGCAAATTGTCTGCCAATTAATACCCTTTCGTTAAAAACAATCATTTGACTGATGGCCCCAGCAAGACCTGTTCTGTCAACGTCGTAACTTTTCAAGTCTTTTTGCATATTCAATTAAGTTTCACTTTTAATAAGCGGGGCCAGTTTGTTGAGCCTCGGTATCATGAATACAGGGATAGGGGTTCAAGAGAAAATATTTCGAGATTAGATATGTAAGATAGATCAAAGAACACATGAGGTTAAGAAGCCAAATAGAAAGTGTAAGAGTCAAATTCAAATTCAATTCTCTATTGTTATTCGGCTGATGTTAAGTACTTTTTAGATAGGTGTCTGGATCATCGCAATAAAAGCATTTTCCAACAAATAATAGGTACAAAACTAATTTCACAATACGGAATGAGGACTCAAATCTTTGAATATTTCACAACTAAACAATGAAATCGATATCTTGATTATATGCTATTTGCCACATAAACCAAAAAAGTTTTTCCCTATCTTAAATGTCCTTGACAGTATCAAAAAATCTGAACACAAAACAAAGCAGTTCTACGAATTGCGACAAAAAAAAATATTACCTCAGATACGACCGTTAATCAAACAAGATGAAGGTGCTCTAATGAACTAAAGAAGGAAAATCTTCAATTCTTACTAAAGTAGCAATAAAATGATAAAATAGCTTACAAGAAAGATTTATGCACTGGAACATAGTATTCTAAACTCTACAATTTGCATTATTGTATTTTTTTAATGGTTGGTGTCTAGATATAATAATAAGTCTGTGGGAACAATAAACATTGTTACTAACACGATTATGGACCCCGGTCTGATAAAATGCTTTCAGTTCAATTGAATATTTCTAGAATCAGCTACGGATATATTGTTTCCAATTCTATCACCAATCGTATTAATAGAAGGTTAGTGACGCCCAAATCATCGAATCATTGATACAATTGAGTTTAGACAATCAGTCAATCAGATACCAACAGCGGGGTTTTCCCAAAATTAGCGCGCGTCTTGAGTCACGTAGCCACGTCAGATTAATCAATCCTTACAGCTATAATTAGATTTTTAATTGAGATATGACATTCATAAGACTCAATTTTGTAGACCAATAAGTGTGCTCAGATCTTGTATCTTGATCTTAGGCTGTGTCTGAAGCTATAATTATACGATAAACAGAAAGCGAACCTACTTAATTTACATCAAAATATGTATGCTAGTAGCAAAATTCGAATTTAATTCAAAGATCTTAATCATTGCACAAACAGTTAATTTAATGTGACTGGTCACGAACCCGATCATGCTTGTATTAAATTTTTATTAGCGACTTATAATTTTGTTTACAATCTCGATAAAGTGTAATTACGGGTTGCCTCGTTTTTCGCTTTATATGGCCACGTCAATCAACCCATCAAGTGAAGGCGGGCCCTAAGGGGTGTTCACTTTGCTAGGGGCCGTGTGAATTTGTAGAGAGAAGAAGACTTTTTTTGGAATTACAGGACGGCTGGTACATGTAGAGATACACGCCCGTATTCACAAACATTACTATGAGGTCGCACAGTGCGCGTGGACGCACAGGGTGACACACGATCACACGAACCAATCACAAAACTCTATTCAACGCTGTGCGTTCCATTTGCTGCTTCATTTAAGCAAGCATCGTTTGTGAATACGGAGGACAGTTTCACCGGACTGTATGCTAACGCAGTGTTTTGTAGCTACACCTTTACGGTACAGCTAGCTACACTTCTTGCTTTTGTAGCTGAGCAGCGTGACCTTAAAAGTATAATGATGCAATTTAAAAAATGTAATTTTTGAACTTCAACAATACCTGATTAATTTTTTTATCATTTATTTTTGGTGCAGTCCTGTTGTCCCCCCTGCTTGGCCCCCCCCTGGGGGAGCCAACAGGATTTCGAAATCCTGTTGTCCCCCCTGGCTAGGGGAGACAACAGGACTAGATTTTCAATCAATGACTTGAGGACTGTTGTCCCCCCTGGCAAACATTGGGTATTTAGAAGCCATATATTTTTGTAACATTTAAGAAGTACTGGAGTACCTACCTGACTAATATGCCATATTGACAAACTAAATACCTAAACGTACTTATGTCAAATAATAATTAACATCTTGTTAACGAAAGAAATATAAGTTGTTGGTACCGGTAATATTTCTGACTATTCCAAAATCTGCTTTACTTGCTTTTAACAGATCGCGATCGTTATGAATTATTCCTACTAAATAATATTATACGGTAAATGCGACAGTTCTTTACCTGTCTGTCTGTTACGAATTCACGCATAAACCATTGAACCGATTTTGATATTTGGGAAAGAGATTGTTTTTGAGAGTTTTTGAGTGCCGGGTCCCGGTTTTTTAAACAGGAATGCGCTCTATATTTTTTTTCTGTGACAGACAAAATTTTACGCGGACAAAGCCGTGGGCAATAGCTATAATGCTTGACAATATTTTTTATTCTCATGTATAAAAAATATTGTCTTCTGTAAAGTTGACTAAAAATCCGTTTAGTAGGTAGTTTTTACGTGAAAGAGTATCAAACAGCTATACTATTCCATACTCCTATTTGTAATATTAGTAGGTAGGACGCTAAAACTGCATAATTTTAAATTAGTCATAATATTCAACAAATTAATTGCTCAGTGATTCATCATTCAACTAGCGGCCGCCCGCATCTTCGTACCTACGCGTGGAGTCCGTTTTACCCCCTTATGTGTGGAATTTCGTAAAATCCTATTATATGCTTCGTATTATTTCATATCCTTAAATAAATAGATAAATAAAATTCGTTCTTGGCAGATGTCTACACCCCATAAGGAACCTACCAGCCAAATTTCAAGTTTTTAGGTGTCAGTACAGGCACCAACCACAAACACGAACCTTATTTTTTTCGTTATCAAAATGGTTATTATTATTTAACAAACGTTTAGGTATTCACTCATTTTAGGAATTTGGCATTCAGTCAAGTAGGTACTAGTACTTCAGTATTTCACAAATTATGTTATAAAAATACATGGCTTTTAAATAATGTTTGCCAGGGGGGACAACAGTCCTCAAATCATTGATTGAAAATCTAGTCCTGTTGTCTCCCCTAGCCAGGGGGGACAACAGGATTTCGAAATCCTGTTGGCTCCCCCAGGGGGGCCAAGCAGGGGGGACAACAGGACTGCACCTTAGTTGGACATTTTTAAATAAACAATCTGGCACATTGGGACGTGTAAATAAAACTGATTTTAGCAATAAAAATAAGATGCAATAAACAATAATTGAAATATATATTTTTATAAATTGATTATTGCGTGTATTTAAGTGTAAACAAGTCCTAGTAGACTAGTTCGTGACATTTCCAATAAACTATCTTAAGGAGTAGTTTCTTTGGATAATCAATTAAGTTCAATCATTGATAATGTATTAATTATGTTAATTGCAATATCAGGATCTAGAATTTGAGCACAGATTAAACGCAGTTCTAATCTCATTAATATTAAAGTAGAACAACAATTAGGTATACTTAAGTAGTTGCAAAAGCAAGTTGCGGTACTTTATTAAATAAACAAGGATCTTATTTACAATTATAGCTTAAAACAACCTTCAGCGGCAAAGATATGGAATCAATTTTATCAAAAACCAACTACAGTATGAATAAAAATTGCAAAAGGCCGCCTTAACCGGCCGTTTCCAGGAAAAAGCTCATTTTAACGAGGCGCGTACGCATGCAGAGTATTTATTTTTCGCGTCTCGAATACGAAATCGGTACGGTAATTTAGTGATTATGGCAACGAGACGAGGGCGTAACTACCCGCCGTAGGGCGGTAGCCTTATAAGCAGGGCTGTGCAAAAACAATTAATTATTTGAATTTTACTTTGCTTATCAACGGCCGTAAATTTTAATAGCCGACTACCCTATTTTTTATGTAATTTTTGTTTTATATTTTTATTTCATACGCTATATATAGTAGTAGGCTAGATATGGCTCGTGATGCGACGATATTAAATCGTCAGTGTACTTAATACGTTTTGTTAACAAAAAATTACATGTATTATTTATTACTAACTCACACTGTTTAATTTTGCATTAACCCATTATAGACTAGCGGTCGCATATGGTACCACTTTTTTGTGTGTTTTAATTTGGCTCTATACATTTATTAACACGTGAAAAGATGCAGTGCTCTGATTGATGCAAGTCGTAGCCAATAGATAATAATATGGTCTATGCTTCTAGGAATAAAAATTGTCAGTTATTCTTTTCAGTTGTGTGTAATTGATGATTGAAGTGAGTGCTACAAAATTTTCTTTTAAAAATTGGCAAGTCAAAAAAGCCTTTGGTCCAATCAAATGCCACAACCGTAAAATGTTAATTCCGTATTAGGCAGCCCTAACTTCAGCCTACAAAATGTGCGCACGAGTGTCGAAAGGCAAAGGCACAAAGTTATTGCTTTATTGAAAGTAGGCATTCAGCTTTAGCTTATAGCATCACAGCCCGTAAACAATAAGACAATACACTTCGAGAAAGTTCCGGAGTACAGCGTCTCTCAAAGTAGGTACTTTTAAGTAAGTTCTTTTTAGGGCTCAACTTCAAAATCGTTTCAGACGAAAAACGTCCACGGCTGGACAAAGGCCTCCCCCAAGATTATCCGCAAAGACCGA